CAAGCGTCATGGTGGATAGATCCTTTGCTTCTTCAATAGCCGTGGTCTTAGGCTTCCACACTTGGGGCAGGCTTCTCAAAATCTTTCTCACTTGATCTTCCACGGTAATTTCTCTTCCAAGGGCTGAAAGCTCATTGATAATGTTAGTAAAGCGTGTAATCATATCCTTAATTGACTCTTTTGGCTTCATTACGAATAATTCGTAATTACGCATGAATATGTCAATCTTAGATTTTTTTACACGTGAGGTTCCCTCATGAGTGACCTCGAGCAAATCCCACATTTGTTTTGCAGTCTTGCATCCTAGAACCCGATTGTGTTCGGCAGGACCAAGACCGCAAATTAGATATTTAAGGGCTTGGGCATTATGCTCGAGTTTCTCATAATCTTCAGAAGTATATTCAACTTTAGGTTTAGGAACAACATTACCTTCGGCGTTTTTCTTTGTGATGGCATTATCACCACTTTCAATTACATTCCAAACCTGGTAGTTATCGGCCTTGATAAAGTTTTCCATCCGACTCTTCCAAAATTGATAGTATTTGCCATTGAACAATGGTGGTCGTTGAGCCGAGTACCCTTCTTCCAATCGGTCAACCGTATTCATTTTGCCGGATCTCTTCCCAAGGTATTAGCCTTTATGTGGTGAAGACCGGCTCTGATACCAATTGATGAACACGGTTAGCAACACAAGAGGGGGGGTGAATTGTGTGTGTGTGGAACCGTGGCAGTTTTTCGCCGAGTTCTAGTGTGGGATAAAGGGAATTGCGAAATAGTAAAGTGCACAAGAATTTAACGAGGAAAAATCCCTTGGCTCAAAGGGATTAAAAAACCTCGACCTCCCTCAGAGGAATTTTAACAACTTCACTAAAAAGCCTTTGAATGATTACAAGGGAAACTCTCCTAGTCTACCCTTGAGCCACCCCAACTATCCTCTCTAGGAAGAGTTACGCTTCTCTACCTTGCGGGTAGAGAGCCTCTCAGCTTTGCAACAAAGCTCTCACCACACAAACCAACCCGAGGAGGCTACTCTTAGCCAATCCTCAAAACCCCATTACAATATGAAGAAGGGAAAGAAGAAACTCTATCTAGAACTCCGAGTGAGCAGTTTCAGGTGCCTTGAACTTCGTATGTTTCTCGAGCCTGTCTCTTGATATTTCTCTAGTTACGCACACACTGCTCTTCTTGATCTCAGCATATATGTAGGCTAATTGGAGCAGTCCGTTGATGCTTTTCTTTCCTTAGGTGGTTGAGAAACTTGCCTTGATATTATTTAAAAATCTTTCCTTTTATTCAAGGATCTTCTAGCTCTCACTTATTATGGTCCTTGGTCAGCCACATATATATGGGAGCAAGTGGATACATGTATTTTAGGAGTGAGTTATGCAATCACCAAAAAGACATAAAGTATATGGTCAAATATTCAATGATAATTCCACAATAATAGATATCAACATATATTGAGAAAAAATAATTTATTCTCTCAATATGTATATAGCCATGCAACATATCATATACGGATTTTATTTCAAACAAAGATGACTTATTCAAATAAATATGCTACGGTCAGCCTTAAAAAAAAGATGGCAAGTAATTTATATGAAGGAAAGTAATATATCAAGTAACGGTCCATATATATATTACTAGCAAGACAAGATTCTTGCCAAAGAAGATTTAATATCTTAAATCAAGGATAACTTTTCAAATCATAAGGCAAGTGAATATTTATTTGACAATCAATGAGCATGCTACGGACCATCCAATTCATGAGCCATGCAATCCTTAATTTAGCAAGCCAGAATTACTTTCCATAAAGTAAAAAGCACAATTACTTTTTATAAAGTTAAAGGCACAATTATTTAAGTGGGTATCAATCATTTATGAAAATATATTTTAATTGTGCCACTTTCATGCATAACAAGGTACGTAGATAAGGCATTATTATGCAATCACATATTAACTCCGCTGATGTATCGGCTGGTCTATCCGCTGGTCTACCTGCATGGTTAGTCATCAATAAAACAATAAGACATATATGTCCTTTGTCCAGGTCTACGGCTTGTTCCAAAGCATGACTTATAGACCAAAAGTAACACTAGTCGTTTGTCATCAACAAAACAATATGTTCCAACATGGACCTTGCTGCCAGCCAACCCAAAGAGTCCCTTACCTTCAAGTTTTCCGCCAATGCCAGCGTGGTGGAGGGAACTATGCCCGGATACGAGCTTGCCAATCGTACTCTTCTTCCTGCCGATTGCGAAGCCCTGAAGGCATTCGAGGATAGGGCTCTGTGGCAAGTCGAAATGCATTACACCTTGCGGGTGTGTACCCTGCCTCCACATAACTTATCTAACCTGTCATGTGCCTTTTTTAACTTTCGTCATTTGTTTTGTTCAGGGGAGCGTGTTCCTGAGTGAGTATGGGCGACGGATGAAGCAACGAACGAGGCAGTATGAGCAGATGACCAAACAATGCGAGGAGCAGGGGCAAATGATTGATGATTTGGACCGCCTGAGGGTCGAGGTGATCAAACTACAGGAGGAGAAGGCGGAAGCGGCAGAAGCCCGTCAGAAGGTTGTTTTGCCATGTCTTTGATGGCGAAGGCCAAGGAGAAGGCTGAGGCTGCATGTGGGGAGGCTGTCGAGGAGCTGAAGAAGGTGAAAGCTGACATCGCGGGTTCGGTCCAAGATTTCAAAGCCGGATGGGAGGCCGACGAGCACCGAGAATGGGCCCTCTCAGTGATAAGTATCATTTTTCCATCCCCGCTTTACTTGTTTTTCTAGTCCCACTTTATGTATGGGTGCTCCTCTTGTGTTATAAAGGTCCATTTGTGTATTGTCAGTTGCTGCCCTGTGCTTCCAAGGATGTTCTTTTCCAGGTCTTGCAATGCCAAAGGTTGTCCATCACTCCAATATGCATGTTACCATTACCATTGGGGCAAAGCAGAGTCAAACCTCTTCCATTGCTCACTAAATATGACCCTTTATCAATTATACTTCTTTATGATGACATTATAGTCTGAATAGAGACTCAGACAAACAATTTAGCACACTAATGATTATCTTCTTCTTGAAATGTTAACTTTTACACAACCACACTAATGGTCTAATTTCACATCCATCATAAATATATTCTACTCCGTTTCACAAAACTGTTTCACATAGGACAAAAGAGAGTGATAAACATATTACATATAACACATGGTTCTTACCTAGATATACAGTACATATAGGACAGATCATGTAACACACCACACATGGTTCTTAAATATCCTTTTATTCCATTGTTTTCATAATTCGTACTCCGTACAAGTTGAGAGCAAGTGAGCAACACACTGCTATATTAGTTCCATCTTTGTACACCTCCAAACATGAAGATACACATGGCAACAACCCCAATTATTACAACTCCTACGAGGTATCTAAATCTCTTATTTTCTTCAATCTCACAATGCACAGCTGCTTTGAGCCTTTGACATGGGAAACTTCACCATGGATTTGAATTATATGCTCTCGTACATCATATAGAACCGTTTTGATCTCGTCAAAGCTGAAATTTGGATTTTCTATTTGTTGAATTTCATTTTCATCTTTCCAATCAAAGAATCACACCCTCCCCCTCCTGGCTGCAACAACTTAAAACAAAAACTTTCATAAATAATTACTAAAGAGGTTTAAAGCATAACTACAAGTTCACATTTCTACAACTGCGCTTCACATTATCCAAATTAATCACAATTTTAAATTAACCCAGCTCCCAAATTAACCGTATAATGCCCAAAGAAAGGGCTCAAATAGTTCTACAAGTCTCTTTTTTTAAAAAAGAAGAAGAAAATATTTAATTTTATTAAAGATTACAGAATAATAAAAGACAAAAGTACACATTGAAAGGGAAAGAACTACATCGTTGCGACGACAGAGTTACGGGTCTCACATCAGCAAAATTTATTTGAAATATAGTTTTGGCTTCGTGTACCTTCCATCATTGACACCCAAAAATCTTTCGCCTAGTTTCTCTGCCAACGCACAAAGGAGGCTTCACACCACAATGACAAAACACACTTGGTTCGTAGTTCAGAGTCGGAATAACCCTTGTGTTTGAAGTAAACGAAGCAGAAGACATTCTTGGGATGCCAATGACGAAGGCTGAGAACGCCAATGACGAATGCTGAGAAAACGAATTTTAGGGGTCAGAGTGGCAAAGATGGAGGCTGCTTCACCGGTGATTATTATCGTATGAACCTTCCCTTTTATGGTTTAGATGAAGTAACGATGTGATGATGTGGAAAAAATATACTCCATACTATGGTACTACCTCCTTAACATTGGCATGTTCCGGAGATATGTATTATTAGGGGTATGATGGGAAGATAGTGAAATAATGTGATGGAATGAAGGATAAATCCAAAAAAAGTAGGTGTAATAGTGTATTATTTTTAAAATTATTGAGGGTATGATGGGAAGATTTAGAAATGGGAAGATATTAGTGTTACGTCCAAAAAAGGAAAGTGGGAAGATATTTACGTTACGGAGGTAGTATCAGATTGGGTTAAAATCAGTACACGTAAGCAACTAACCGGGATTTCCAAGTGCTTTGCCAGTCATCTGACTTATTTGACCTTATTTACGGAGTAAGGCTGCACGTATGACTTTTTTTTAAAGTTCGGGGGCTTAAATGATGGTTTGATAATAATAGATGTGGTTATTTTATCCTTTTTCCTATCATTTTAAATTAAAATACGTTTTGTTATTAAAAATCCCGAAAAAAACGAAATCAAACCGGACAAAACAAACAGTGGTTTTAAGTTTTGAAATGTAAAAATTGAACTGAAATTGAACCAAACTTTCTACTTTAGTTTCGCATTTGGTTTTTGATCAAACGGAATCCACGCCTAGAAGAAAATGTGTATGTATTGATTTAAGTAGTGAAAGTTGGGCTGCAAATAGAATTCCTTATAGGTGACCAAGAAGCCCAAATACAAGACCCCAACCGTCAAAAGCCCAACTCCCATTAGAGATCTTCTCCAGTATGCTAGATAATTCCTGAAGAAGCTTCCAGACACGCTGCATTTTCCCTGTCAAACATCCAAATAAACAATCTACAAAATAGAGGTAATCCACAGTTGAGCGTGAAGATTTGATTAGAGAAAATGGCGTCCTTCTTTGGCGACCCTATTCGGCGATTATTATGGAGTCCGGCCATCTACTACCACACTCCTCCCGGCTCTGCTGCTCTCCTCGATTGGCTGGAGTCCCCAACGGCTCACATCTTCAAGATCAATGTCCCAGGTTCAATTCGTTCCGTGATAGATTTTTTTTATCGAACCATTTGGAACATAGTTATATTTTACTTAATAACAACATCAATAATTAGGCATAGTACCTGTGTGTTGCATTGTTATAAGCAGTAAGTACGGTGTATTCTATGAATGTTAAAGTAAAATACAATGATACTCCCGAAAACAAATTCCCACTTTCCTTAAATGGATGTCCCAAAATTAACTTCACACTTCAATACTTTCCTTATTTGTCAAATTATCTACATCAAAAAAGTGATAAACAGAGTGATAAACAGTGCCAAACAGTGTTTAAACAGTGCAAAACAGTGCATTCTACAGTAAAGTCAAATTTATTTCCTTAAAGTGTGTGAAAGTCCAACAGGGAAGTTGTTTTCGGGACGGAGGGAGTATATTATTTGAACATTAATTTCTTAAGTGAATATTCTTACATGAGAATCTATTTACTATATAGTCTTAACTATTACTAGTATGTGTTAAGTTTAACTTTTCTTAGTACTCCGTAATTTGTATTCTGGAATCAGTGTAGGACCTAGGGGGCAAGCGCTCCTCTTTCTATCTCGAAAAACAGTATTAGTAATAGTGTTAGCAGTGGCGTTCCTCTTCTAATCTCAGTACTTAGTTTTTAGGTGAGCGTTTAGATTTCAATGTTGTAGAAATTGTCAGAAAGAAACAAAAACATTATCATGTCAGTATGAATAACTCAAACTTAACTTACATATTAAGAAACTAATAATATTGAATCGCATGAACGAATACATATAATTCAAAAAATAACAATTTCACTCATCCTTTGTACGGAGTATTTGATTGGTAGAGATTTTTTATATGGCTCTAAGCCAAATTATCTTGTGAATCTTATGAACAAAGAAATTAGTATCGGAATGTAGTTCAATATGTAAACCTGGTATTACAATGTAGTTATACATAAGACTAGAATTGTAAATTTGAATTGAATTCTATTTTGAGACAGTGGTAGTATTATACTTCGAACTAGTAAGTTTCTAGCACAACGTGTAGGGTTGGACACAGTTCTAGTTTTGGACTAGAACTTGGTCAATTAGATTTTATAGTCCAAAACATAATTAAATAACTATTATAAAATCGGAAGCGGTGTAATGATAATACAGTTCTAGTAAGTTCATATTCAGAACTATAAGTTTTAATCTTGATTATGCATATTTTTCTTATAAAAAGTTAAATTTTCGTATTTAGAACTGTCGAAATAAGCACACAACTAGATGTAGAATCAGAATACATGATTGACCCAAATTCAATGCGTTTGGAGGCTTGGAGCAACCAGGCCAAAATTGGGTCCAACCCGACTCGAGCCTTTCCGCATGCCCCTTGGGAAATGTCTAGGTCCGCCAATGCATGGGATGATTTATTTCTTAAATCATTTTTATTTCCTTTGATTTTCCTTCGTCATGTTAGTTTGGTGTGTATAGAATTCTAAGATGTTTCCCTGTGTTGCAGTTTCTACGAAATACGGGCAATTCTATTTTTAAAATCGAAATAATACAGAGTACTACTATTGTGAAACTAATATTTCATTTCCTCAAGAGATAATTACTTAAAAAACATTTTTTACGTCGTGTGATTTGTGTCTAACTGTCTATATCTATAAATATGCTTCATGATTTAAATGAGTTTTGCCATATTATTAAGAAAAAATAATTAAGTTGAATTAAAAAAAAAAACTAAACAATGGAATGCCTTCGTTGTTTTCTTTCTTTTTTGGACCGTCTTTGAATAAGCTTTAGGGAATTGCCCTAACTAGGAGTAAACAGGTTTTGAAAATACCAAAATAGGACAACTATGTTTTTCTTCCCAAAACGGGAATCATTACTGTCATGATCGAAAAATACTATACTACCATTAATGGCAGTAAATAACTGTCATGTTACTCTTTTCTCGGGAAGAAAAACATAACCGTCCTATTTTGGAATTTTAAAACTTGTTTATTCTTATTTCAGGAACTTTCCAATAAGCTTTCTATGTTTTAAGGTTCTTATAATTTTACTTATTTAGACTTCCACATTTTCAACACCTTTTCATTTTCGGTAAGTTTTTTTTATTAAGGACATGTTTACTAGGGGTGGGATTTTGGAACCGGGAACCGTAGAACCGATTGGAACCGAACCGTTAACAACATCTAGGAACCGAACCGTTAACAATTAATGCCTCATTTGTAGGAACCGAACCGAAGCGGGTTATAACGGTTCGGTTCCCGGTTCCTATAAAAAATATGTGCATGGAACCGTTAAGGAACCGTTATTAAAAAAATAAAAAATAAAATAATATTAGTAGTAGTAGTAGTAATAATAATAATAATAATAATAATAATAATAATAATAATAATAATAATAATAATAATAATAATAATAATAATAATAATAATAATAATAATAATAATAATAATAATAATAATAATAATAATAATAATAATAATAATAATAATAATAATAATAATAATAATAATAATAATAATAATAATAATAATAATAATAATAATAATAATAATAATAATAATAATAATAATAATAATAATAATAATAATAATAATAATAATAATAATAATAATAATAATAATAATAATAATAATAATAATAATAATAATAATAATAATATAATAGCAATAATAACCACCACGACAACCACTATAATAAAACAATATAAGATATTTAACTAACAATTCTAATTTAATCAACGGAAAAGAAGTAACAAATATTGTACATGAGGTTGATATAATACATTAAACTCCTTTCTACAAATCAAGTTTTGTTCCATCACATAAATTTTATAAATATAAAATAACTCAAATAACTTGTAGTTGATTGCACATATTTTACTTTACTATTTTCATGATATTTCTAAATATTAGATTTATTATGAATCAATAGAATGTAATAATGTTTTTTTATATCTATACATGCAAACTTAATGTCTTTTTTTTATGTTTTGAAAGACTTGAAGTAGGCGTTATATTCTTGCTACTATGATGATGAGTAACCTTCATCGCTCCGACACTACAACGATTTTTAATGTTTCATTTATTACATGAAAATTTAAATCACTTTTGTTCTATTAAGTGTTCAAAGTTCATTAGTTAAGTTTGAGCTTTGATGTTTGAAGTGATTAGAGCTTCAAATAAAATTTTAATACTCGTGTTTTGAATTTTCGGCGTGTTTATGTTGTTTGTAGAAAGTAAATTATGTGTTAATTCTTAGACGAGAAAAAATTATTCTAGGAACCGATAAAATGAAGAACCGAACCGTTTACTACCGGTTCGGTTCCATAATGTTTCTTGATTTTTTATATAGGAACCAAACCGATTTCATTAGTTAAAACTTTTATAATGGTTCCACTTATTTTGAGTAAGAACCGAACCGGTCCCAGCCCTAATGTTTACGTAGATGGAAAATTTGAAGTTGGTCAAGATGGGTCAGTTTGTTTCTAGTTCGGTTGAATGGGTATGTTTTGGGGTTTGGTCTAACTTAGGCTGGTTTGAATTGGTCTGGCCTAGTAAGGTATTGTGTTATTTGTATTTTAATGCTAATGTCCAAGTCTGATATGTTCTTATCTTTTTATTTAAGTTTTGTCTAGCCCGATCTATTCAAATCTGATTATAGTCTAATTTGATCTGATAATAAAAGTAGTCTAAATGATACAATCAACTCAGACAGGTTTGGATAATTTAAGGTTTCTGAGTTGATAGGTTTCAATTCGCATTCCAATTTTAACACGTATTGTTTCCTCCCTAACATTTTGTTAGTGTTCCAACATGACAATCATGAATTTATGTTACGTTGTTGTAATTATTAAATTATAAAATTATGGGAACACTATTAAATAGGCTCTCGTACTATATCTAAAAAGTCAAATAGACTCTCATACTTGAAAACGATCTGATTACAAAAGTAGTCTAAATGATACAATCAACTCAAAAAAGTTTAGATAATTTAAGGTTTTCGAGTCGTTAGATTTCAATTCGCATTCCAATTTAAACACGTATAGTTTCCTCCATAACATATTGTTATTGTTCCAATACGACAATCATGAATTTATGTTATGTTTTCGTAATTATTAAATAATAAATTCTGGGAAAACTATTAAATAGGCCCTCATACTATATCTAAAAAGTCAATTAGACCCTCGTTCTTTAAAACACCCAATTAAATCTTGAACTTTAAAAAACGGTAAATTCAACTATTTTACAGGTCAAGAACCAGTTTCTTGGTTATGACTAAAGGGTCACATAGGCCCTCGAACTAACTTAAAAAGTGCAATTCACCCCTTATATAGGAGACTCGGTCCGACCGTTGCCAATTGGGGCAGTTTCCAGTGGAATTTTTTGATGAATTTTTTTGAGCATCTTCGTCATTAAGTCTAGTTTACTCATACCAAATTTTAGCTAAAAATTCAATCGGGAAGGCATTCAAATGAATTTTTGAAAATAGCTGCGCAGTTAAACAGTGCAGTACATTTCAAAAAATCATTTGACTATCTTCCTGATTTAATTTTTATCTGAAATTTGGTATGGGTAAACTAGACTTAATGAAGAAGATGCTCAAAAATTTTTATCAAAAAATTCCACCGGGAATACAAGGGAGGAGATGGTATAAGGGGTATAAGGGGAAAGAAAAATTGCAATTCACCCCTTATATTTGAGGCTCTGTCATGGTATGTCATGGTATATAGAAGTTTTAATGGGTAAAGTTACAGGGTATACAAGGGAGGAGATGAAGGTACAAGTGGAAGAGGGGAACATATTGGTAGTGAAGGCGGAAGGGGGTAAAGACAGATTTCACGAGAAAGAGAAAAATAAAGAGTTAGTTTGGCATGTGGCGGAGAGGGGCGGAGGAAAGGGAGATTTTTCCCGGGTAATAGAGCTGCCGGAAGGCGTGAAGACAGACCAAATTAAGGCTCAAGTGGAGAATGGTGTGCTTACAGTGATTGTGCCCAAAGATACTTCAAGCTCCAGCAGGCAGTCAAAAATCAGAAACATAAATATCGCCACCAGCAAGCTCTGATGCTCCCTATATACTCGTATTTTTATAGTTAGTGTCATTCACTGGTTCAGTATAAGAAATTGATGGTGGCTTGTTGGTCATATGTAGTATATTCACTGTGCAAAGGGATAAAAGTCCAGGAGCCCTCATATATCCTTTTAATAAATGCATATGTATTTTATATTATCATCATATTTGCTGTATTTGTTGATTAGAAATGTATTGACATCTTCTAAATAATAGCAATACATTTATCAAATCTACTTTTCTGTTCGTGTGCATTGATTATCCCAACTGTCCATCTATCTGTACATCAATTACGGAGTATAATTTATACTCATCTGTTCTATTGAATGTGCATCACTTTATCATTGAGAATTGCCGTGTGATCCTTACAGTAGAAGATACCTTTCCTCTAGAACATAATTCTTCCATTGTGAGTCTTCACAGAAGATTTGGGGTTCAGATGAGTCTGTTAACATTGAACGTTACAGGAAAAACGAAAAACGTAGATATAGAATCTGAGTTCTCTCTCAAAACATACTTCTACCATTTCTGTTTCTATTGAATTACTTAGATTCCTTTGAGTTTAATTCACGAAGATGTGTGCTTCTTCACTATTTCTAATATAATTAATTATTTGCATTCAATTTGAAGATGGATTGTGTTTGTTTATAGAAAACTTGATGTTCAGGTATATTTGTTGATTAATTTCGGTTATTTCGTTTTATGGCCAATCTCACTGATTAGTTATGTTCTGACTTCTGAGTGCATTTTGGTTTCTCTGAATCGTTGTACTATTTCCAAAACGTCACTTAAACCCATGTACTAAAAAAATATCATATAAGTACGTCTACTTTACAAAATGGATCAATTTGACCATTTAATCAACTTTTGACTTGTAATAGCATGTTTTTTTGAAAGAGTAATAGCATGTTTTTAATACTTAAAAATTTTAAAAAAATGTTAAAATTTGAAGAAATGTATACAAAAATTGTGAAAATTTTCAGAATATCAAAGTCAATATTTTTTAATTTTTAAAAATATTTGTATATTTGACATCTATTTAAAAGGTTTTTAAAGTTTTTTAATTTTCTTTTTTTGTTTGCAATGGAACCAAAGATTCATTGTTTTTTGGCTTGAAAATATGATGGAATAAAGCAAAATGGCTCACTAAACTGTCTGCGCTTCTTTGTTATGAAGCAACAGTCAGTCCATGCATTTTTGGACGCGATTTTCACTATGGGTCATCCGGAAACAGTCTCTCTGTACTTTAGTACAGGGGTAAGAATGCGTACATCTGACCCCCCCTTACTCCACCGTAGGTGGGAGCCTTTGCGGCACTGGGGTAAATGAAAAAAAATTATTTTTTCAGTTTTATATTTTATTTTTATTTTTTACTTTAATTTTTTTTAAATTTTATATATTTTTATATTTATACTCCGTACTATTTTTATATTATTAGATTATATATTAAAATTTATATGAATTTTGTAAGATTTATCAATATTCCTAATTTAATAAAAAAAATAAGCTGCTATAACAAGTAAAAGGACTTGGTTGATTGTATTTTAAAAGTAGATGTACTTATATGATACTTCGTTTATCGTCACCACCCACCATTATTATAAATCTAAAGTTAAGTTTCGTTGCATATCTGAAATGTATTCAAATCTGCCTTTGATTTGAACCTAAGGAAGCCGCATACCCTATAAAGAAGGGAGAAGAAGAAGAGCTCGAGGTTGAAGATATGGAATTTCACAACCACCGTTGGAGCTCGATGGAACACAGACAAAATCATCGTCGTTGAAGAGTCTGCAGTCGTCGCATGTGCAAGTACCATCGTTGAAGAGTTCACACTAACACCATTGTCGTTGTATTTTTGATGTGTCTGTTACTGGGAAGATCCATGAGAGAGTAACAATGAGCCGTGTAGTTGGGACGACCACATATAGGCTTACAAAGACGATGGGAGAGTGGCGGATTGAGTTATGCTGGGTTATTTTGAGTTTTAATTTATTTTAGGTCTCTTTTTTGTCCAGTTTAACTATGGTCTTATATTTGTTCACTCAAAAGTGAGGAGTATTATTTTTGTCATTTTTCTTTTTGGAGATGCTAGAGTTCTTATTCTTTGGAACATTTTTTCAAATCTATTATAGTATCTGCTCTTGTTAATGTCAACATCCTTGATTGGAATAAGACTCGAACCTGTGACGTCTTTTTTGGGAGATCGGCAGGAACGTCATCAAGCCACAAAATTTTGACCGACAGAGTTCAAGAGTTGGGTAATGGATATAGGATGTTTTCTAATCTGGTCTGGTTTGTTTAAGTCTGGTCTAGTCTGAACTGGTCTGGTAAACGTCTGGTCTCTATGTATTTTATAACTATCCAAGTCTGATCTGATCTGGTTTGTTTAAGTTTGGTCTGATCTGTTTAAGTCTGATCTGGTCTGGGACTGAAAACAGTCCAAAAAAAGTCCATGCACATTAGTTGTTACACAGTCCATAACTCGTAATGCGCCAGCCGTGTCATGACCCACCCACAGCCACAGCGCGACTTGGACTCTTTTCCTCTCTCTCACCTCCCTAATCTCTTTTAATCTGTAAAACTTCCAGGAATCAGACAGCGAAGCAGCGAAAACTAGATGGAGGATGATATATGATGAAGAAACATCCTACTCTACTTCGCAAGAATACTGCCAAAAATCATATTTTCCCACAGCTTTTTCCGGTCACCAGATCGAAAATGATCTTCCGAAAATTCTTCTTCTTCTCCTTTCTCTTCATTTTCTTCTCCTTCTCCACCCACACCACTGCTGACCTGGCCACCGATCGCGCCGCCCTCGTAGCGCTCCGGCATGCCGTCGGCGGCCGCTCACTTATCTGGAATCTCTCCGACCCCAACACGTGTTCTTGGGCCGGCATCAAATGCTCCACCGACAATAACTCCGTTGTGGAGCTCCGCCTCCCCGGATCGGGTCTATCCGGGTCAATCCCGCCGGCTACCATCTCCAATATCACGGGCTTACAGACTCTGAGCCTCCGCTACAATGCTCTCTCCGGCCCGCTCCCGTCCGACCTGTTCACCTCTCTCCGTGACCTCCGCCGCGTGTACCTCCACCGCAACTTCTTCTCCGGAAGGATCCCGGAATCTGTTTTCTCCATACCCAACCTTGTCCACCTCAACCTTGCTCACAACAACTTCTCCGGCTCCCTGTCACCTTCCGTCAGCAATCTCACCCGTTTGACCACACTCTACTTGCAGGAGAATCAGTTATCTGGGTCGATTCCGGAGCTGGACTTGCCCGGGTTGGCCCAGTTCAACGTCTCCGACAACCAATTCACCGGTGAAATTCCGGGAAAGCTCTCCGGTCAGCCGAGGAGCGCGTTTCAGGGCAATTCACTGTGCGGACGGCCACTGGATCTCTGCGGTTGGCAGCGGGGGAGAAAGAAAAGACTCTCTGGCGGCGCAATTGGCGGGATTGTGGCCGGATCCGTCATCGGGTTAGTACTATTGCTCTTGCTGCTGATTTTGTTGTTTCCTCGTGGAAAGAGAGGCGGGAGGGTGGAGCAGGGAAAGCAGAATGAGGAGGCGCGGGAAGAAAAGTCGGCGGCGGCAGCGGCGTTTGGCGGGAAAGAGAAGGAGAAGGGGAAGCAGCTGGTGTTCTTGGGCGGGGAGGGCGGGAAGTTCGGGCTAGATGAGCTGTTGAAGGCTTCCGCGGAAGTGCTGGGGAAGGGGAGCCTGGGAACGGCTTACAAAGCGGTGCTGGAGAAGGGGGTGCGGGTGGTGGTGAAGAGGCTTCGGGAGGTGGGCGTGGCGGAGGAGGAGTTCCGGGAGAGGATGGAGGGAGTGGGGAAGATGCGGGGGGAGAACCTGCTGCCCCTCACCGCCTATTTCTACAGCGGGGATGAGAAGCTTCTCGTCTATGATTACATGCCTATGGGCAGCTTGTCTGCCCTCTTACATGGTCGGTCCCTCCCTCACCTCTCTCCTTATTTTACAGAATAATTGTTTATTTACAACGAAATTATGATCTTAATCATTTGTTGGAAAATGCTATCTACTACGTAAAGTTTATTTTTTCACACAAATTGGTAGGGCTTGTATACACGACCTTCTATACGACATTTTATCAATTTGTCTGTGTACAAATAATTTGAGTGACGTTCTATCAATAAAACTTATATCGACACAAACAATTTTTTTAGTGTGTCAAAGACAATTTAAATTGTCTGCACACAGACACTTTATCTGTACACGGACAATGGAAATCCATTTTTTCATAAAATGTCAGTACAGAAACAATTTGATCTGCGTGTACAAAGAGCATTTTCAATATAGGATGGTCACTTCTCTACAATATGCTCATTTCCTGTATGCCTCGCTCCTAATCAACTTTTGATGATGAACTTTTCAAATTTACGTCGAACACTTTTTAAACACACTCTAAACATACTTTTTTTGGACGAACACTTTATACATACTTTAAAAATGTTGTTGTCTACCGTCATCTTAGATGAGTTTCTTTACTCGGATATGGTTTTTCTGTAATCTAATTTCAACATCTAAAGGTCACTGAACTGAAACGTACACCAAAATTATGAAAGACATTTTACATACTGTGACTTTGGTTTATGTTTTGTCTCGACTCTCGATTATTGTAGCACATAGATCACACTATCTCTCATAGTACTGATAACCTAAAGTATTCTAATTGCAATCAATTTCTAAGAAATTGTTATTTAGTTCAATTTTTAACATTTTTTATCATATTTCAGTTTTTAACATACCTACTCTATCTATATTAAAAAAAATCTTTTTGTTTTGTAATTTTATTTATGCCCACAATAAACTCTTAAAGATATGATACTTTCTTACTTATCAAATTTCAACTCATGTAATAACCAAAACCTCACTATGAGTTTCACAATATATTTGAGAGAAAATTGCTTCACTAGGACTAAAAATGGACAAAGGGCACAAATAGAATAATACTATCTCCGTCCCGGTGGACGTTGTCAAGTGCAAAGTAGGTGAGAGTTAAGAATATTAAAAATTGTGTGGTTGAGATTTGTGCATATGAGAGAGAAATGTGCAGAACCACAAATTAGTTGCTATAATAGGAAAATGGCAAAGTTTTTTGGGACAATCAAAAAGGGAAAGTTGGCAAAATCCAATGGGAGGGAGGGAGTATTGGTTTTTTTCTAAAACAGAAATTATTCACTCCTAAATGAGGAAATTTTACACTTTTAATAGGATCAAATAAGTCATATTTTGGGAATAAAACATACTTAGTTTTATTTGTGCACTTTCTTTATGTTTTAGTCCCATTTGAAGTCATTTCTTTATATTCTAAGTTCAATTTATGTAAAAAAAAATCTCACTATATATCATGTATTAGCCACAATTTTTCATTCTACACTAATTTATCATAAACTAAACATGTCTAACTGAAAATTAATATCTTCTTTCGTACTAATGAAGTTGAGTTTTTAATTGATTTTGATTTGTCAGAAATTTGCAATTTATGCCAATTTTTTTTTGTCTTGAATAGCCATTTTTAAGCATATCTAAAAATAGAAACACCAACTTTGTTTATTCCGTTTATAGTTTTACTCATGACGACAAGTAAATTTCAGTAATAACACATTTCTTTTAGTTTATAACCCTGTTTTAGGAATGAAACATATTAGTCTCATTTTCAATTTTCTAAATGTTTAGGGTATGTTTGCAAAAACTTTAAAAAAATGTTTTTAAGCTTTTGGCTTAAAAACTGAAATGAGTGTTATCAAATGACAACTTCTACTTGAATTAAACACTTATAACCCATTTGGTAACACTGAAATCGGCTGAATCAATTGATTCAGCTGAAATTTATGAAGTTCTGGACTGGTTGTATTGGCTGATTCTGTTGATTTATGAAAAAAATTAAAATATATTTTATTAATAAAATAAAGAAAAAAATATATGAAAAATAGCTAAATGGTCATCTACAGTAACTTCAGCCGATACAGCCAGAAAAATAAGTACAACCTTACTTTTTCTTATTATTACATAATTCAACGCGTGAAATCAAAAGTTACATGTTTGGTTAAAAAGTTGGCTGATGATAAGCCTGATAAGCTGACAAACATAGTCACTAAACGGGCTCTTAAAAGCTAAAAACTAGAATCTACTTTTTACTTTTTCTATCACACAAAAAATACATATTTTACCAAACACTACCAACTTTTACTTTGCAAAATCAATTTTTTTCTCAAACATTACCAAAATTTACTATTAAGCACATTTTCTAAAATCACTTTAAAAAGTCATTATTTTAAAAGTCATTATTTTAAAGTAAAAACAACCGCAAGCACTCATTTTTTAAAAAGCGTGTTTTTCTCTTATTTTGAACAATGGTATTATTTTAATTTCAATTTGTATCACTTCTTAACTTAATTTTTCTACTGGTGTGTCGTGTAAGATTCAAGAGTAGACATTGTCCTGCTGAGTCATAGATCCAATGCACAATTTGACCCCATCTCTCTTCTCTTTTTTAGCTTTTGGTTGTACATTTTTTAATTCTATTATCATTAACTAAACATATCTAACTGAAATTTTAAATCTTCTTTCGTACGAATGAAGTTGAGTTTTTTATTGATTTTGATTTGTAAGAAATTTGATATTTATGACAATTATTTTGTCTTGAATAGCAAATTTTAAGCATATCGAAAATTAGAAACACAAACTTTGTTTATTCCGTTTGCTGTTTTACTAATGACGAGTCAAGTAAATTTTAATAATAACACATTTCTTTTAGTTTACAACCCTGTTTTAGGAATAAAACACATTAGTCTTATTTTTCAATTTTCTAAATTTTTTATTCCTATATGAAAAAGAATGGTTTGTTCCTATATTGCCCTGCTGAGTCACAGATCCAATACACAATTTGTCCCCCATCTCTCTTCTCTTTTAGAGTAGACCTATAAGTAACATTCAATTAAAGTAATATTTGTATCTTTCATATTTCATTGAAATCTAGAGTAGACCTATAAAATGCACCAAATTTATTAGAGATGCTCTAAACAAGAAATTCTCCCTTTCATAGAATGTAGGCTAAAGGGTCAAATAGGTTCTTGAACTAACTTAAAGTGTTCAATTAGCCCCTTATATAGGAGGTTCAGCCCGGTCATCGCCAATTGGAGAGGTTCCCGGTGGAATTTTTTGATGAAATTTTTTGAGCATCTTCTTCATTAAGTCTAGCTTACCCATATCAAATTTCAGCTAAAACTTAAATCGGGAAGGCAGTCAAATGATTTTCCGAAATGTACTGTGCTGTTTAACTACGCAGTTATCTTCAAAAAAATCATTTGATTGCCTTCCCAGTTGAATTTTTAGCTGAAATTTGGTATGAGTAAACTAGACTTAATTAAGAAGATGCTTAGAAAATTTCATCAAAAAATTGCACCGGGAACCGCCTCAATTGACGACGTCCGGGCAGAACCTCCTATATAAGGGGCTAATTGAACACTTTAAGTTAGTTCAAGTGTCTATTTAACCCTTTAGCCTAGAATGTATCACGTTAAACTGTAGTGTGCAACCGGAATACCATGTGAACACCTACACGGTGCTCCAGATACACATTGCGTGTACATAATAGACTGATGCATTTCTTTCCAACAATATTATCATTGATTCCCTTGTAGATGTGTGCTTGGAATAACAATTGAGGAAACCTCACGACTCATATACTCCATTGTTCATATACATCAAACAGTATGGTGTGAATGAATCTTATTTCGGGTCACCGGGTGCAGTATGTAATTCAAAATTTATTTGATGTCTATATTATCTTAAAGCTGTGTAAATGATGTAGCGAGATAAAAGCAAAAAATAAATTCAAAAAACAATAGCGCTGTTTACAATGAGCACAACTGCACAATAATCCTTTATCATGCTATAACCACCCATATAGGATCAACTAAATGTATGACGTCGCGATTGTTTAATTTTAATTGTTCATAGGTAACAAAGGAGGGGGCAGGACACCACTGAACTGGGAAACAAGAGCTTCAATTGCCCTTAGTACTGCCCGTGGGATCACATACATCCATTCACAAGGCCCATACATTTCACATGGCAACATTAAGTCATCAAATGTTCTCCTTACCAAATCCTATGATGCCCGAGTGTCCGACTTTGGCCTTTCTCAGCTCATTGGCCCCACCTCCACGCCTAACCGTATCGGTGGCTACAAGGCACCCGAGGTGACTGATCCCCGCAAAGTGACCCAAGAGGGAGATGTATACAGTTTTGGGGTTTTGCTACTCGAGTTGCTAACAGGAAAGGCTCCAACACATTCGCTAACTAGTGAGGAAGGCTTTGACCTCCCGCGATGGGTTGAGTCTATAATCCGAGAGGAGTGGACTGCTGAAGTGTTTGATCCCGAACTCCTTAGGTACCAAAATGTTGAGGAGGATATGGTTAAGCTCCTTCAACTTGCGGTTGATTGTACTGCTCAATATCCGGACAAGCGCCCTTCCATGGCGGTTGTAACTAGTCGAATCCAAGGTCTTATTAGTTCCAGCGTTCTAGCCTCTCGTGATGGCATAATTGATGATCTCAACAACTAAGAATTTGAGGACTTTGGTGCAAACACAAAAAAAAACAAGGCCTGAGAATCTGATACCTCACAGCTTTATTTTTCTTTTTTAATTCTTGAAGAGTTGGTGTTTCTATTTTATTATTTGTTCTCTTAATTATTCTTTTACTCCATATTTACTTTCCCTTCTCTGCTGTTGTTAATGAAAAATGACTATTGATTTTGGCTATACAACCAAGGCTTTCTCCTTTCTTCTTTGGGTGAACGTTCACTTTCTTTCATACGGATCGGAGCATTTAAATACATTTTTTTCTTTAAATTCGTGCAACAGCAATTGTTTTTATTCATTTAAGGGACGACATTTTATTTTTAGTTCATGTCATCAATGATACTACGTACTAGTTTTTTGTGCAATGATACTAGGGTCTTAATTGCAATAGCTTCTGCTTTTAAAAAAGTGCTTTTTTAATGATATGGGGAGAAGTGATTAAATAAAAGTTGATAGTGTTTGGGGAAAAAGTGATTTTGAAAAGTAAAAGTGGGTAGTGTTTGGTAAAATAAGTGCTTTTTGTTTAATAGAAAAAGTAAAAGCACTTTTGACGCGGAAGCCGAGAAAAATAAAAGTTGTTTGGGAAAATAAGTGCTTTTTTAAAAAGAGTTGCAAACCAACCCTAGAGCCTAGGGGTGAGTGGGAATTAAATGTGAGAAAATGTATTTGTTTTTTCGACTAGAGTAAGGGTTGGTTTGCAACTGCTTTTAAAAAAGCACTTCTCAACTTTTGGCTTTAAAAAAGTACTTATTTTCCCAAACACTACAACTTTTATTTTTCTCGGCTTCCGCGTCAAAAGTGCTTTTACTTTTTCTATTACACAAAAAGCACTTATTTTACCAAACACTACTCACTTTTACTTTTCAAAATCACTTTTTTCTCAAACACTATCAACTTTTATTTAATCACTTCTCCTCATTTCATTAAAAAACACTTTTTTAAAAGCAGAAGCTGTTGCAAACAGACCCTAAATGTATTCCATGCGTGCTGCGTCCAATTGGATTTTTCCAATTTTCTTTTTTTTATTATTGCAAAACACTTTATAATAATTAATTTGTGGTTCTATTCATTTATCTTTATTCTTCACACAGTTCGACCACAAAAATTTTAGTATTTTAATTTCACGCCAAACCAACTTGACAAAATTAACTTAACAAAATTGAGTTGAACGGAGTTAGTATTTTTTAGGTACACTGAACATTGAAAAATATAGAGCTCGTTTGGTAGTACGAAAATCGGCTGTTTTGGCTGATTCTGTTGAAATTTATGGAAGTTCTGGCTGAAGTGGCTACATTGGCTGATTTTGCTGATTTATGAAAAAATTATTTTTAAAATATACTTTATTAATAAAATAAAGAAAAAATTATATGTAAAATAGTTAAAATGGTCATCTACAGTGACTTCAGCCAATACGGTCAGAAAAGTAACTCCAACCTTACTTTTTCTGCTTATTACGCAATTCAACGCGCGAAAACAAAAGATACGTGTTTGGTAAAAAAGTTGGCTGAAGCCGAAAAACAGTGTTTCCAAACGGTCTCATAAGGTGCCGTGGAGTGGATTACTTGATGCTTTTTACAACTTTCTCCACTCCTTTAAAATTGTTCATGTTTTTTTAGTTTTTTATTAAATTATTTTTTTAAAATTCGATAAAACTTACTCCGTATATGGGAGATAGTACCATGTAATGAATGATGTATGGGAGCAAGATGAAACGTTGAAAGACATCTTAGACTGCCGTGACAAAAATATCAAAATACGAATTACGAAGCACTCTCCAACGGTAACATCATTCTATACCCCACCCACCCCGACCCCGACCCCGACCCCTCTTTTTTTTTTGTTTCTTTTTCTTGGTTCTGTATCCCAATCTCAGTACTTCATTCAATCTTCTACTATCCACTACTCTCAACTCCCCCCCGGCTTCTTTAGTTACCTATTAACCCATCTCCTTGTTTTTGTTTTTGTCAAATCTCATTACCTTGTAATTCTTCCTCGAAGAAAACGGGTTCAGGCTATGGGGTTTCTCCTGCTCTTCCTGCTCTTAACGCTTTCTTCGGTTTATGCTGATGAAGGTAGGCCTTTTAGCTTAATAAGTCTGTTCGGTTTCATATGTCCGAAATATACTGCCTTCCAAGCTCCCCCTTTTATTTGCTCTTTTCACTCTTTTCTTTTTTTGCTTGATTTTCGACTTAATATGAATGTTCTTAACAATAATTTATATGCTGGTTTTGGGTATATTTGATGTTAGTCTGGTGGCTCCGTTATAATTCCCCATTTTATTAGTGTGTGGACTGCTTCCAACTTGTTTCCCCAAAACATCAATTGTTATCAAGTGATACCAAATGCTCGTGCCTGCTTTTGTGTGAGGTTTAGAACCCATTTCTGTATCAATAATCAAGAATAAGTTGCTCGGTTATGACTTACCCATACCTCCTTCCATCTAGGTCACAAATTAGTAGTTAAGATGGCCAGAAGGAAGGACTTCGACAGTAGGGAGGGAGATAGAGGAGTTACGGGAACTAGTTATGACCCTAAATAATGAATGTGTTTGCTTTGCCGATTAAGAGATGATATTTTAGATTATATGTCTATTATATTTGAAAGTAAAATGGAGTCAAATGAAATAAGTACGTATTAGCTAGTAATTTAAATAATTTAAACCCAAGATGTAAAAATACTAAGTTGAGCTAGTATTTATAATCTACACTCAAGGTGTAATAGTGGTTTTTCCAATGTGTTTACCAAATGGACAGCCTTATGCAGAATTTTTTTGTAGATTATGCTTAGACGCACAATATGCTAGCAAGCCTTGATGTATTATGTTCCATATTAAATTAGGTTTTGATGCACTCCCCTATTCCTCTTAGACTGCACACTGATTTTAAGATTATGTAGGTTTTGAATTTACTTATTTGACTAAGATGGAGGTTAATTGATATTTTTTCTCCCTCGAAGTTGGACCATTTCGGGAAAAATATCTGTACCAAGCGGCTTAATAGTAAAAGTTGTGAATGATTCCTAAAAATTTCGGCCTAACCCGAAGCCCCACACCCCCAAAGCTCTAGGCCCGACAAATGCCTCCTAAACCTTGTATATGGCCTAGAGATTGCCTACGCCTTTTTAGAACAATTGTTATAACAGAGAATCACCATAACATTTTCAAATATATCACACATTTGACATTCTTCGTGAGTCAATTTTATGTTTAAAATTTGAGAAAGGGGCATATAGTACTCTAATTATATATTTAAGAGTCATTTTATGTTTCTCCCAGGTGCAACTTTTAGAAGTCATTTATCAGCTTAACTAAAGTTACTGTATATACAACTTGATTATATAATTTTGGGAAACATGACTTTTTATTGGGATAGGGTCAGTAACATTTATGCTGTTCATTATTATTATTATTATTGTTATTGTTGTTGTTGGTATTTTTCATGGATCTATCATGAGATGATGCTAATTAATGGCTTTCTTCTCATGGGGGGCTGTGGGGCATTTCGTCCCTTGTGCCAGCCAAACAAACAGATGCTGCTGCAGCAGCTTTCATTGGAGTGAACATAGGTGGAACAGACATGTCAGACATGCCACACCCAACACAAGTAGTTGCACTTCTGAAAGCCCAACAAATCCACCACGTCCGCCTAAACAACGCGGACCGGGGCATGCTTGTGGCCCTGGCCAATTCTGGCATCAGAGTTGCGGTCTCCATCCCGAACGATCAGCTCATAGGCATTGGTGAGTCGAACTCGACCGCTGCAAACTGGGTTTCACAGAACGTGGTGTCGCACTACCCAGCCACCAACATCACAACAGTTTGTGTTGGTTCAGAGGTGCCCTGGAACATGGGCCGTGTCCTAGTCAGCGCCCTTAGGTATATCCATTCCGCCCTGGTAGCATCCGGACTTGACAAGCAAGTGAAAGTGTCGACCCCTCTCGCGTCTTCCGTCATCCTCGACTCGTTCCCACCGTCCCAAGCCTTCTTCAACCACTCGTGGAAACCTGTTCTGGTTCCCATGCTACAGTTCTTGCAATCCACGGGCTCCTCCTTCATGCTCAACGTCTACCCGTATTATGAGTACATGCAGTCAAATGGAGTTATCCCTCTGGACTATGCTCTTTTTAACCCTCTCTCTGCTGCCAAAGAAGCTGTTGACTCTAACACCCTCCTCCACTATACCAATGTGTTTGATGCTATGGTGGACGCCGCTTACTTTGCAATGGCTGACCTCAACTTCACGAATATCCCTGTGGTGGTGTCTGAGTCGGGATGGCCCTCGAAAGGTGACCGCAATGAGCCTGATGCCACTATGGACAACGCCAACACTTACAACAGCAATTTGATCAAGCACATTATCAACCAAACAGGAACCCCAAAATACCCCGGCATCCCTGTCAGCACATACATCTATGAACTCTACAATGAGGACACAAAGCCGGGCCCAGTCTCAGAAAAGAACTGGGGATTGTTTGACTCAAACGGAAGGCCAGTGTATATCTTGCGATTGACCGGGTCCGGATCCGTTCTGGCAAATGATACTACAAAGGAGACTTATTGTGTTGCGAAAGAAGGGGCAGATCCTAGGATGCTTCAGGCAGCTCTGGACTGGGCTTGTGGGCCAGGGAAGGTGGTATGTTCACCGCTGATGCAAGGTGCGCCCTGTTATGAACCAGATAATGTGATGGCTCATGCAACATATGCTTTTGATGCTTATTATCAGAGTAAAGGAAAGGTTCCTGGAAGTTGTGACTTCAATGGGGTGGCCACTGTCACCACAACAAATCCAAGTAATAAGCAGCATGTGGCCTCATATCTGAATTATTTTTTTTATTACCTGCCTGCAATAGTTGTTATCATGCGCTGTTGTGATTAATAACTTGGTGTATTGCTCAATATTTTGCAGGTCATGCTTCGTGTCTATTTGGAAGGTAATTTCTTTTTCCCTAAACACACGTGCTATGGTGGCAGAGCCAACCACACTTGACAGATGGGCAATGTGGAGGGGGAAAATTCATTCACATAAGTTTTGCATGCTAGGTATTTGGGGAACATGTAGGTATTATGATAAATAATAAAGAGATAGCTAGATCTGACCTGTGCAGCTGCTGGCTCCCCAAGATCTACCAGGACCAGCGAAGTTGGGGACTTACTTGGCCACAACCCGTCCTAGTTCAGTAGTTCCGTCAAAAAAGATTGTTTCTTTATACATAAAGAAGAACACACACACACACACATTAAGTTGAAATTTCTTTTCCAATCACAGCAAATCTGAAACTAGGAGAACTCCGTATATGGTATGCATCATGTGTGCTCTGCTAAAAATTATCACATTGCTACAATACTTTTTCATGATGAAGATGTTCTGTCTATATGCAGAGGTATAAAAAACGACACATATCTGAACAGTACATCTCCTACCGTGGATTCAAATTTAACATCGGGCTCCTACTACTTGAACTACAAATCCTTCTTTGCAGCACATATCATGCTTGGGATCTTAGGATGGGGCTCAACTATCTTGTAGTAGCGCTGTTTAAATCCGGCTGGTCTTTTTTCCTTGCTTGGTAGTTAGTTAGCTAGTTAGAATGTATGGAGCTTATGATGATAGATCTATGGATGTGCAATTTTTTGTGGTCATTTTTCTGTGCAGAACAAATTATCTTGCTTCTCACTCCGTAATTAGGTGGTGGAATGTATTGCAGCAGACCCCCTCCCCCCCACACACACACACAAAGAAAGAAGAAAAGCACAAGGCATAACCGCTTTGGGGGTTTCAACCTGCTTGTAGTAGTATTCTTGATTAGTTCTGATCATATTGTTCTTGAGCTCCAATTTTCCTCAACGTTTTAAAGAAAACAAGAGTAAAGAAAGTCCAGGCATTATAGAACAAGGATTTTGAAACTTACAGGAGAAGGCATTTTTATAATTCAGGCAGGATGGGTTATATTTTGCATGAACGTTTACCTTCTTTTGCTTGTATGTTTTCCTCTTCCTTCATCATTCGTCAAATAGGTATATTCTGTGCTAGAGGTGGACTGGGATGGGTCCGGGCCGGGCTTCGGGCCTAAGAATTTAAGGCCTAGTACCGGGTCAGGTCGGGCCGGGCTACCAAGTCGGGCTTCGTTCCGGGTCGGGTTGGGTTAGGAGCTTGTCCAACCATTTGAAATCCATTTTTTTACTACCTCCGTCCCCCTAAGTTCAAATAAGATTGGGGGACGAGGATCAAAACTTATGATAGATAATGAAGGATAAATGTAAAAGATATTTGAAAAATTAAATGTGGAGTAATATAAATATCTCTCTGTTTTTGTATTTGAAATTTAAATTAATACAATAGTTCGATCATAATGACACTAATATTACTCTCTAAGTTTCTAATTTCAAAAATATAACTACTTTATTTTTTTCATAAAAGTAACCATTTTTTTCTCTTTGAACCCATCTCACCACCTCCGTGGTCGGCCATCACACCGCCACCGCCTCTAAGTCGTACCGGCTCCACCTTCTAATTGCCACCTCTGCCGCCATCCGACATCGTTGCCCCAATCGACTTCTAGGTCGCCGCCCACTTCTGTTCTTCTTATTCATGTTTTCCAAATCCGTTGTGAACGGTAAGCGATGATGACGATTAGAACAACGAGGTCGGACCGTCGGATACATCACCGCAGGTTGTACTGGTTCCACCTTGAATTTAGTCATTTAAGGAAAAATTCCACAATATATTGGTCCTTCATCTCCTTCACTGTAGGCTTGGACTCGGGCCGGGCGGCCCGCCCCGGAACCGGCCCGGTTACTGTTTGAACCGGCCCGGCCCGGGAACCGGTCGGGGGGGGCCTAACGGCTATTTTTTGAACCGGCCCGGCCCGGTAGACAAGTGGTCCGGGCTCGGGCCCTTCAGATGGCGAACCGGCCCGGTTCGGGCCTAACGGCTATATTTTAATTTTTTTTTCCCAATTGTTTGAACCATCTAGCCGTTTGGGTGGCCGTTGGGAGGCCACCCAAACGGCTCTATAGCCGTTGGAGGGGGTAGGAGGAGGGGGTCCAGGGGTTTTGGGGGTGGGGTGGGGGTGGCCGGGTGGGGATAAAAAAACCTATTTATACTCCTATTTTCTATACATTTTTTATACCTCTTCTCCAACTCTTCCTACTCTCTAATTCGCTATTCCCTCATACTCTTAAATCTTAATCATCTCCATCTTCATCTTCTCCAAATCTCTCTACATATATATTATATATATTATTTATATAATTATTATTATATCTACTTATATATTAATTATCTACTTATATATACATATATTACATTACTGATATTTATTATTTACTTAATATATATTTATTATATTCTTAATATTTACTTTGATATCTACTTATCATCTATACTTAGCTTATTGTTTTTTTTTATACTTAGCTTATTGTTATTTACTTATATATTAAATTATTAATTATCTACTTTACATACATATATTATATTACTAATATTCCTTATCTATTTAATCTCTACCTATTATCTACTTATATATATTAAAGTATTATATATAAGTGTATTACTCATCATATAGTAAGACTAATATTCAGGTCCGGCCAGGCCGGACCACTCCCCCCGTCCGGCCTCCTCCATTTGGGGGCCTTCCCGATGGTATTTTTTGATCAAATTTTTTGTGTAGGTTCCTCATCAAGTCTAGTTCATCCATACCAAATTTCAGCCAAAAATTCAATCGGGAAGGTTGTCAAATGATTTTTGCAATTTAACTGGTCCGGAATATGTATTTTCCGGACTAGTTAACTTGCAAAAATCATTTGACGACCTTCCCGATTGAGGTTTTGGCTGAAATTTGGTATGGATGAACTAGACTTGATGAGGAACCTACACAAAAAATTTGAGAAAAAAACACCACCGGGAAGGCCCCCAAATGGAGGAGGCCGGACGGGGCTCCGGTCAAGTATACCTGACCGGAAGACTACTCCATATAGTAATATACTTATATATTATATACTATAAACATTATATTATATATTAGTTATACAATAATCTACTTATATACCTATATTATATTATTAATATTTATTATCTACTTAATATATACTTATTATCTACTTATACATCTCCATCTTTTATATATTTACTTTATTATCTATATTTATTGTTATTTACTTATATATATTAAAGTATTATATATAAGTGTATTATATATATTTAATTTGTTAATTGTTGCATTCATCATAAAAGTAAAAAACTAGTTAATTATTAATTGTTGAATTAAAGTAAAAAAACTAGTTAATAGTTACATTTTTCATTTCCCTATTATTTAATTTGTTAATTGTTGCATTCATCATAAAAGTAAAAAAACTAGTTAATTATTAATTGTTGAATTAAAGTAAAAAACTAGTTAATAGTTACATTTTTCATTTCCCTATTATTTAATTTGTTAATTGTTGCATTCATCATAAAAGTAAAAAACTAGTTAATTATTAATTGTTGCATTAAAGTAAAAAACTACTTAATATTTACATTTTTCATTTCCCTATTATTTAATTTGTTAATTGTTGCATTCATCATAAAAGTAAAAAACTACTTAATTATTAATTGTTGAATTAAAGTAAAAAAACTAGTTAATAGTTACATTTTCATTTCCCTATTATTTAATTTGTTAATTGTTGCATTCATCATAAAAGTAAAAAACTAGTTAATTATTGATTGTTGAATTAAAGTAAAAAACTAGTTAATAGTTACATTTTTCATTTCCCTATTATTTAATTTGTTAATTGTTGCATTCATCATAAAAGTAAAAAACTAGTTAATTATTAATTGTTGAATTAAAGTAAAAAACTAGTTAATAGTTACATTTTTCATTTCCCTATTATTTAATTTGTTAATTGTTGCATTCATCATAAAAGTAAAAAACTAGTTCATTATTAATTGTTGCATTAAAGTAAAAAAACTAGTTAATAGTTACATTTTTCATTTCCCTATTATTTAATTTGTTAATTATTGCATTCATCATAAAAGTAAAAAAACTAGTTCATTATTAATTGTTGCATTAAAGTATAAAACTAGTTAATTGTTACATTTTTCATTAAAGTATAAAACTAGTTAATTGTTAATTGTTGCATTAAAGTTTAAAAATACTTAATTTTAGGGAAATTTACCGGGATATGACTAAAACTCAATGAGTTTCTCAATCTATGACTTAACTAGTTTTTATACCTTTGTATGACCAAAAATCCAAAAACAAATAGAAATTTCGTTTATACTTCAATGTTGAATGACAAAAATACCCTTGTTTAAAATATGTGCATTTTGCATTAATTTCGTCCAATTAAAATTACTGCACTTTATATTGCCGTTAATGCACAAAATTAATGCATGACTTTACTGCACATTCGGTAATAATCACTGCACTTCCTCTAAAATTAATTCTCTTCTTATTCAATTGAGTTTTTTTTTAAAAATTTAATAATTTTATTATTTTACATTTAATTAAGTATATTGCATTTGATGATGATATCACTGCTTTGTGTTATTGCAATACCAGTCATAATCACTGCACAACAAAATTTCTTAATGCATTCGTTCACTGCCATGTATAACATGTCTATTATCATATGTATTTATTATCAATATTCCACACTTATTGAAATGTTCAGTGATGGTGTTCAATGCCTATATTTAATGCCCACAAACCCTAAATTCAATATAAAACCAAATTTCAAAAAAAGAAAAAAAGAGGGGACGAATAGGCATAAGATACTCCGTATAATATTATGCATAACTACACTTTTTAAAAGAAGATCGTACTCATCAAATTAAAAAGCAGATCGTACTATAAAAAAAAAGTAGACCGTAGTACCTACGCAATGGAAGCTAGGGAAGAAACCTAAAATCTAAATCGCCCCTCCTATCTTTTTTTAAAATCAGTTTTTTTCCTAAAACTGCGGCACACAAATCTCCAAGGCACGTTTGACAGGCAGGAGATGGAGTGAAAGCTCTGGGACGGCTCTTCTGTGAGCGGAAGTTGTACGGCAAGCGGTGGCTGGGCGGCAGGCTGCAGATCGAGGTCGAACGACGTCTTGGCACTAGATCGGGCGGACACTTGCACCAGACCAGAGTTTTTAGTCGTCGACTATGCTCACATGCCGTATTCTCTGGAAGAAGGCGATGGCCGGTGGACGGTGGCTAGATGGCGGGCGGACAGCGGACGGCGGGACGGCTTCGTGGGTGGACATTGGGAGGTTGTGGCTAGGGTTGAAAAAAATGGGGGAGAAGTTAAGGTTTTATAAGGAGTAAAGGGTCAGTTTGGTCCTCGAAGTTGCAAAAAAGGCGTCAAATAAGTCCTTATATAGAAGATTCTGTCCGGACTTGCCATTTGAGGTGGCTTTCGGTGGAATTTTGTGATAATTTTTTTTTATCATCTTATTCATTAAGTCTAGTTTACTCATACCAAATTTCAGCAAAAAATTCAATCGGGAAGACATTCAAATGAATTCTTGAAGATAACAGCGCTTTTAACGACACAGTTATCTTCAAGAATTCATTTGAATGTCTTCCCCATTGAATTTTTATCTGAAATTTGGTATGAATAAACTAGACTTAATGAATAAGATGCTCAAAAAATTTCATCAAAAAATTCCACCGGGAGCCACCTCAAATGGCACGTCCGGACAGAATCTTCTATATAAGGACTTATTTGACCCTTTTTTGCAACTTCGAGGACCAAACTGACCCTTATCCCGTTTTATAAGTATAAGCTAAATGGTATATTTGTCCATAAAAATTATTTATTATTTATTAATTACGAATTTTAATTAAATATTATGGATATTAATATTATTTGGGGAAAAAAACTAGTTAGGTCATAGATTGAGAAACTCATTAAGTTTTAGTCATACCTAGGATAATTATCTCTTAATTTTATTAGTAAGTGGATTCTTGGAAATTTGCTATAATTTTATTAGTCGCATTTTATTATTACTATTATTTTCATATTAAAACATTTGATATCATATAATATTTGTTACATTTTAAAGATGGACCGTGGCAGACATTCCGTAGATATGGGTAATCTCCAACGCAAGCGAAGGAAGGAGATTGCGACAAGCCATCCTAGTTTACGCAAAGGCAAAGGTAAAGGGCGGGCCGGGTCTTCTTCTCAAAGTCAAGAAGATTTTGATGACGGATACCAAAGGCGAGATGTGGATGCGATGTCCGACGAGCAACTACAACAACTATTGGCGCAAAATGATGGTCGCTTTTTCCAACAACAAAACATCCCGTAATCCATTGATGAAGGGGAGCTCGAGGATGACGATGTGGAGGAGGACGAGGGGGGCGACGGGACTCACGACACCCCGGATGATGAGCAAAAGTTGGAGGACGAGGGCGGTCCATCCCAAGTTGGTAAGAAATCTAAATCTCCTATTATAGAAAATAATTATACAAAGAGGAAAGACCCAACAACCGATAAATGTACGCAAGTTGCGATCATTGCAAAGAAGGAGTATAGCTTGGGAACTTCCGGCGGATACGGGAGCCTCAAAAAGCATCTTAAGTCCGCGCACTCTGTGGAGTATGCGAAAATAGACAAAGGCAAGGGGAAACAAACTCAAATATCAAGGTTTGCAAATGACCAACCTTTTGGTAATTTCTCATACAATGATGCATGAAATTTGTCTGGTATGGCTAACTTGTTGAAGAAAATTTGCCTTATTTGTTTTTTGAAAGTCTTGCTTTTAAAGATTATGCACAAACTTGTTTAAATCCTCAATTTAGAAGTTATAGTCGCAAAACGGTTAAGAAAGAAATTATAAGGCTTTATCGTGCCGAAAAGGATAGGTTACAAATTTTTTTTGCCAACTTTGATGGTCGTGTAACTATTTGTTCTGACATTTGGGAGGATATTTATCATAATTTACATTATTTGGGCCTGACTGCACATTTTATTGATAATGATTGGAATTTGCATAAACGTGTTCTTGCTTTTCGTGAATTTAATGATCGTCACACCGCTGAACATATTTATATTTTGATTGAACGTATTTTAACTGAGTATAATTTGATTGATAAGGCGTTTGCTATAGGTTTTGATAATGCTACTAATAATACTGCTGATATACCTAGATTGCGTGAATTGTGTGGTTCTAATACTTTGGTAAGTAGATTTTTTCATCAACGATGTGCATGCCATATTATAAATTTATGTGTGCAAGACGGTTTAAAAGCGTTTGGAGATGCTATGGAGAGGTAGTCAAGGGGGGGATTAGACGTATTTGGGGCAATGGTCAACTTAAATTAAAATGGCAAAATTATTTGATTGAAAGAGGTGTGAAATGTTAGCCGACTTGTGCTAATAATAATTTTTTTTTTATGTTTACAAATAATGAAGCTAATATGTGTGCTGAGTGACTGCAGGTATCCATCGTCAAAGTAATCCACTAATATAGTCTTCCTAAAATGATAGAGAACACCATTAATTAAGACTATGTGGATTGCAAATTTTCAAATAGCTCTCAAACTGATTTATTACCTTAAAATATTTTAAATAACTTAATAAACTTTTTATTCACTTACTGCAAAGTCTAATTCCCAATTCTTCCCCAGCTGGTGAGTGCTCCTTCCAAATCAACGAACTATTTCCCAATTTCAGTACCAGCTTGCTCGTTTCTCTCCATATACCTCGTTGGTGGTTAAGTTTTTTTATCAACTCTTTCTCACTCAAAAACCCTTATTCTAAGCTACTAAAACATCCCTGAATTGAGTTTTAAGCTTGCTGAAAACGTCTCTCTAAACCAGCCCACTAATTTTCCGCTCTTTTAAGTTTGCCTAGTTTTTTGAGTGGACTGTCTTACATAACCTTGCAGCAACTTAAACCCACGTTTTTAGTACTTGAAATACTTCTTTATCTCTATTTCTATTGGGGAAAGTTTTCTGGAAATTTGCCTTTTGAGCCAACTGTTGGAGCCTGCCAATTCTTGAGCTAACGATTCTTGAGAGCGCTGATTTTTATAGCAGCCGCTAATTTTGACAGCAGCCGCTGGTGTCCTTCTCCAGTAGCTTGCTAGAGTTGCTACTCTTCCAGGTAGTCACTAAGCTTTCTACACTTCCTTCTTAACCTTGCCGCTCTTCGAGACCGTTGTCTTGTTAGAAACGGAGGATAAAAATAGTGAATTATAAGGGTGTGAAATATGGTTGAACCAGATATCACTTCTAGTCACGTATTAAATACGCTTTCCTAAAAGTTTACTATCTACCCTTATAACAGTAACCGGGTTACAAGATAGAACTTTTGGGATAAAAAGAAGGTGTATGGTGTATTTTAGTTACTAATAAAATAACACCGAACAAGTGATATGTGTGCAAAGTAGTCTAAGTACTTTTATTTCATTACTGCAGATAATAAAATGGAGTAATAGCAAGCATGCGATCAAAATTGGCTTATCAATTTTTCGCACATCGTAAGATCACTTTTGTTCAACATCATCAACTAATTTATATAGTTGAAAATCTGAAAGTTCGTAACTTCTCAGATAGTCATGATGGTTCGCATACAGCTATAGAATAATGAAGCATATCCTCCCATGGCACTTTTCATTTAAATACGAAAGTATAAAAATGTTGGTTAGAGGATAAGGATGATAAAAATGTTGGTTAGTGATTTCAACCAACATAGCCGTACACTAGCACCGTTTCATTATTATTAAACATATTATTATTATTATTATGAGTCCTAAAAAAAATCGTTCCCATAATAATAAAATAATATAATAATAATAACTTTATTTAAATATTCAGAAATATTTATCTTTAATAGTTCAAGCTTGAAATCACTTTTAAAGATAATATTCTAAATATCATGTTGAACATTTGAGCTACATTTCTCATTAAATTTCCAACAATCCTCCTCCATTTATTGAGAAATAAACATGCTCAATCCTTGCCAAATAGACCACAAGTCAAGACTTATGCATAATTGAAAGTGTCTTAAAGATTGAACTTTCATTTAGTGCAATATTCTTTACAATATTTCGGATCATAATAGTAGACTAAGCTTTGAACTATACAACCTCTTTGAAATATTGAAGATACTACACACACAAGTCTTTATACATTTTCACTTAAAAACTTGACACTATTAACGGCCTTGTGTCCATATCCATTCATGAGCTCCAACAAGTAAAGCCTTAAACTTGGTGAATCGGCCGCCATTCTAGCTCACATAGGTAGATCTTTTCAAATTGTGTCCTGCAATTAAACACTTTATCAAAAGATCTATTAAGACATAGTCAACCTCATTACACATTGCAGTCTCAAGCACTTACCTCGGGATGGTTAATATTCAAAAGTGCTTCAATCACGGAGTGACTTACTCATCATCATTGAACTCAAGATCTAGCGTTGTACTAGACGTTGAGTTGCGCTTTCTTTCACTTGTGATTATTTTCCAAGGGCTTTAACCCCATCCCTTTTGCAGTTTTGTACACCATGTCCCTTGGCATCGCCTTTGTAAAAGGATCCGCCAAATTCACATGTGATCGTACAAAATCAATCACAACAACTCCAGAACCAATAAGTTCCCGCACATAGCTGTGTCTCACCCCTATGTGCCTTGACTTACCATTGTACACATGATTATAAGCTTTTGACAGAGTTGATGCACTATCACAATGGATTGATATCGGAGCCATAGGTTTAGGCCATATCGGAATTTCCGACACCAAGTCCTTTAGCCATTCCGCTTCTTTACAAGCTGATGCTAAAGCTATAAACTCTGAAGCCATGGTAGAGTTCGTGATACAAGTTTGTTTCTTAGATGCCCATGATATAGCACCTCCTCTAAGAAGGAATAACCATCCACTTGTGGATGAATAATCCTCTTGATTAGTTATCCAACTTGCATCTGTATAACCTTCTAATATAGAGGGTTCACTCTTGTAACATAAGCCGAAGCTCATTGTTTTCTTTAGATATTTCAGCACTCGCTTCAAGGCTTGCCAATGAAATATACTAGGATTACTAGTATATCTACTTAGCTTTCCTACCGCAAATGCAATATCTGGCCGGGTGCTAGTCATTGCATACATCAAGCACCCAATCACCCTAGCATATTCAAGTTGTGATACAGCGTTCCCACTATTTGGAACTAATTTCCAACTAGGATCCATAGGAGTGGAAACCGGTGAACAATCCAAACTCGCAAATCTTTTCAACACTTTCTCTATATAGTGAGATTGTGTTAAGGTGATAGTATCACCTTGCTTAATTATCCTAATTCCAAGGATAACTTCCGCTTCACCCATATCTTTCATGGAGAAGTTTGAACAGAGGAAAGCTTTTGTTTCTTTCACTTGCCTCAAATCAGTGCCAAATATGAGCATATCATCCACATATAGACAAATAATGACACCATTTCCATGCTCATTAAATTTGCTATATACGCACTTGTCTGATTGGTTTATTTTAAATCCATTTTTCAGCACCACCTCATCAAACCTTTGATGCCATTGTTTAGGTGCTTGTTTCAGACCATACAAGGACTTGACAAGTTTACAAACTTTCTTTTCTTTTCCTTTAACAACAAACCCTTCGGGTTGTTTCATATACACCTCCTCCACTACAAGAAAAATTGTTTTGTGCAACGAAAATTTTCATTGCCAAAGGTTGATAATTCCTTGCCCATTTCATTGGGCAATGAAATCGAATCCGTCACAAGGTCGTAGCCTAAGTATCGTGGCCCATTATACTTTATGTGATGGATCAAATATTTGTTGCCCATAATGATGCTTGTGCATCAATTACTTTCGTTGCCTATAGATGTACTTTGTGCAACGAATGTTTACTAGTAGTAGCCCCAATTACTTTTGTGTGTTGCGATTCTATGTTGCACAAATGTCTTTAGTGCAACAATATACTATCAATTGTAGTCCATGCTAATTTGTGTGTTGTAATTTTTTGTTGCACATGAGTCTTTTGTGCAACGAAAGTCTACATTCCGTTGCCTATACAATTTTAAATGCATTGGAATTATTTACGTTGCCCATATATTGTACCTCTAATTCTCTAAAGTCCCCTCCATCTCTATACACAACATTGACATGCTACATTTTATCAAGTTCAAAATTATGATAAGAAATGAAATAATTTTATATACTTACAAAATGCATAATATAGCTAGTGTCTCCATAGTCAATCCATGAAACTGGTCAAAAGATAACAATGCAAAAGTTTGCTAGTTCTCGACGCATCATCACATGTTCATTTATTTACAACTTTTTAAGATATAAAAAACAAATAATTAAAGTCTTCGAACTCGACGAAATATATAAATATGTCAATTGGCTCTTAATATAGATCTCTTGAAGTACCACCGGAAGTATACACGATTTCACTAAAAACCATGACCCTGTAGACAAAATTA